AGATTTGAATCTATGTTCTTTTGGTTCGCTTTCCTCCTTCACAAACATAAAGTATATGAATGGCGGCCATATAAGTCAAAACAGAAAGTCTTCTTTTCAGCAATGACAAGGATTGAATGCATGGGGAAGAATATGAATGCTTCCCCAAATATTTTCCTAGTCTTCTACTATTACTAGTTTATGGACTTTTTGAGCTGCATACTGTTCCTATGCATTTAGTAATTCTTAGTGGATTTATCTTTCATGGACTTCTTCCAGATCCACGTCAATATTCAACATGCATAACTTCCTTTGGTGAGGAGTTCCACAGGTCTGTCACTCATGAACCTTTTCTTTCTTTGCTTTGAACCTAATACCAACACTGTGGGTTTTCTTCTTCTTTCAGGATAAAGAGTCAATCGTTTATCCCTACCCACCAGTCCATGCCATTGATAATTTTCTAAACCACTACTAATTGTTGCTCTCCCAGCCCAAGCACTCTTCTGATGTGCCCTTCTCTCCGCACATCACCATTCTGCTCAACACTTCCTGAGGTAAGAGAGCTAGAACTGCTCACAGTATTCAAGCCGTCAGTGAATCACAGATTTATACAGTGGTATAGTAATGATCTCTGTTTTATTGTCTTCCTTTCTTAATAATTTCTAACAGCCAAATCGTGTTTTTGGCTGCTAGTGGGTATTGATAAGTAAAACTATTTGTGCAGGAACCTGTAACTTCTCCCTTGTTTGTTCAAGTCTAACGAACTTGTTCAGCAGAAAAAAGGAAAATGCTAATAGCTTTGGATTTCACTTTCTTTTTGGCCTCTTACCCACCCTCTGAAGACCCGTCATAGGAAAGCATTAGGGTGTTACAGTAGATGTGTCTGAGGCTTGTATGCATAAAATTCATTTAGTAGACACTTTATATAATGTAAATAATTAATTTGGTAAAAAATTATTTTGTAGAAATAGTAAATGGTATATTTTTTCGCAATTCAATTCTCTTCTTTAGTAACACATTTTAATAAAGTCCCACTTATAAAATTATTAATGGGGCCTGTAAATGTAAGTAATTAAGCTTAAGGCTTACTGAATTAATCCTTAATGTGATTAATTTTTACATTTGAAAAAAAACTATAGAATAATTGACTAACTACTATAATGGATTTGTTGTACTCATCGGTTAACTTTGAGTAATAAATATAGGGTTATACAGCTGATTCAATAGCCAGAATTCTATAGTCTTTTCTATCTTACCCCATTTAATCTTGTGCTATCTATTTTTTTAAAAAAAGGTTTATTACAAATTTTTAAAATATTTTAATGACCACATTTTGGCAAAAAATTTGAAAATGAAAATGCAAGCTTATGAAAACTGATATTTCACTTTTTCCTGCTTTGCCTATTTTCCTTTTCAGGAAAGATGGAAAAAGTAAGTAAAAGAAACCCTAGCAGTTTAGTTTAGAAAAAAAGTTTTTAATTTCTTGTAGAAATTCTCACATTTTTCATCAACTCTGTTCATCTTTTTTATACTCATCAGCTTTAAGTCTCATTTTCATTTTTGATGATTAGACCTCATTCAAATTATTTTTTCCCTAAATTATTAACATCATCTGTACCTGTCAATCAAAGAAAGTGAGGTTACATTCTGTTCTAAAGCCTTGAGGTGCAACGATTTGTTTTTTCCTGATGTTAACGCACGCGTGACAGCCTTCTCTAATGTGATGTGTCAATGATGGACTGAACATCAGGTACCTGAAGAAAAGTTCAGCTCAGGCGTGCCGTTGCTCAGTCTACTGACTTGTACCAGTAAATATCGAGTGTGTGCTGCTTCCACACCAAACTTCACCATTTAATATTGGCTATAGCTATTGTGATCATGGACACATCCATTTTTCCTAGCCCCTCTCTAATCCTTTTCAGCCTTATAATTTTTTTCACCTCAGAATGGTTTGTTTAGTCTTCAAGCCTGCCCCCGAGTAAATTAATTTCCTATTCGTAGATTTAAAGTCTAGAAAGGACCAGTGCTATGTAGATTGTAGTCCTGGATAAACAAAGGTCATGGAGCATTACTGAATTAATTCCTTACCTGAACTAAAATATAATTTCTCGTCTCATCATCAGAGGTCCTATTACAGGAAATTTGCTAGCAGTGTTGGGAAACTGCTCTTGTGGTCAACTGCTGCTGTCACTGCAAAAATTTGCAAGCTCTTCTACTCTGAGTTTTATTTTACTGTTGACTAAGAGCTTCAAGGATCTTTTTATTATTTGCTGTCTGTTTTGTCCTAACAGCTTGTGGTCAGATCACCCTGTGACTGGCTCTGGTTGGTAGATTTTGCTTCAAAGTGTCTGCTAGATACGGTTTATAAAGCTTCTGTCCTGTAAGGCATTAGAAATCCTCCCCTCTTTTACAATTACGTTCGAGATATATCAGATAGCACTTATTTAATCAGTATAATGGTTGTCCCATTAAGCAGTGATGGTTCGATATTTATTGAAGCAAAATCAAGTAAAATGCCTTGTATAAATATAGGTCATCAGTGGTTACCTTTCCCAACTACAAATCTTGTTAGAAAATAAATTAGTTTGAAATGAGCTAGTTTCCAAAAGCCCACGTTGATTGGATTCATCAATTCAGTTATTTATTATTTGAGCACATAATTTGCTTGGATTAATCTCATGGTGACGGGCCAATAATTACTCAGGGCATCTCATTTAGCCTTTTACAAAATGGCGTATGTACTTAGTTTTGATCTTCTCAGACTTTCCTGTTGTTTCGCAACTCAACTGTGTAGAAAGTTTTTGACCAGTTCTTCTAAAAATTTTAGATGCAGAATTTTAAAATGTTGATTTGAGCATTTCTAATTAAATGTTTCTGTCTTTTTGCTTTATTGATCCCTTTTTCATCTGATATGAGAATGGCAGTACTGGTATGATTCTGTCTGCTTCTAATACGCTTGGACAGTCCTTGTTTCTATCAGTCACTTTTCTATCAACTACTTAATCTTATCTTCTTTTTACTTTGTAATCAATTGTCTGCATCATCATTTCTAACTAATATTATTTTGCATTTTTGTATTTTGGATGTCCATTTATATGCCTATGTACACAGGGATATTAACATAGTATACATGTATAATTCATGTATAATATGTATAATAAAGTATATGATATTTTTATATATAGAGAGAAATATATATATGCTTTGATTTTAATTTCATTCTTTTTTTTTTTTAAACTTTCAGGTGGCTTTCTTTTCTAACTGTGAAATTCCTTCTCTGAAGTGCCTTGTCTGATAACTATTCCCAGTTCTTATCTGGCAGCCAGTATGCATATATGTATATATACTTGTATGCAATGTATATATATGTATACAACTTTTTCTAATTGAAAATAGCAAAAGTAACCAAGTCAATTTTGTAATTAAAATAAACAGGCATAACCCTACCAAATTAGGATTTTTCTATGCCTAAATTTTTTTTTTTTAGTTACGTTCCTGAAGGACAGAAGTTAATCCTATATCATTCCCCCCACTGATTTGTTATAAACAAGATCAAACCACATTGTCTAAACTGAGATGATTAGACATTATAGAGATTAGCAGTTTGCTAAGAACTGAAACTGAAAATTCACCTTGGTGGGTGTTGCAACATGAATTGTTATTCTGGAAATGGCAGGAGAGAAATTTAACATCATGAGGAAGGTTTAACTATAACTGTAACAAAAACCGTAGTCAGATTACCCTTAAGTAGCAGCAACAGATGTCATGTCTTTCTACTTCTCACCATCCTTCAGTTCTGGTCTCTTTTGGACATATATACTGAATGAAAACTTGGTATACTTCATTTTTTCTTATTTAAAAATGCACCTATATTAGAATTCTTTCATAGCATTGTAGGTCATGTACTAACAGGGCATGATTATTCTTCTAATGAAATGGAAGTCATTTGACCTTCAACCTCACCGAATTTAATATGCACCCGAGGCATAGATTAATGGCCTGATAATACATCCCATTTAATGTTGCGTTCCTTAAATTAACCAGCCCAAGCACTCATTGGGAATCTATCCAATAAATAAGTGAAAAAGGCAGCACCTATTATGATTGGTTAAGTACCTGATACTAAAGCATGTGTAAATAGAAAAGCTGTCTTTGAAGTTTAAACACTATTTCAAAATCCATACTGTGCTACAAGTTTTCTAGTGGCCAGGACTATAGAGCAGAAGTTCCTGATGTTTTATTCATAACAGGTCAGGTAACAAAGGGGATATCATTCTGAGCATTGCATGAAAAAAATTAACCGTGAATCTGATGGCTGCACGTTCAATAAAGGCCCTCAAAGCGCAGAGCAGGGTTCCCTGTCTTTTCAGTAGAGACTTGCCCTGATCCTGGCGTGGTGGGTGCTGTACTGCAAGAGACTGCTTTGCAGATAGACAGGAGCTCCTGGAGAAGTGATGAGGAGGGGGATGTGCCTGGAGAGTGGGGCCCTGGCCTTGGACCAGAAAATGGACCTGGCCCCACGGTACCTTCGCCTTCCGTCCCTCTGCTGTTGCGGTCCCAGGGAGCATCACCTTCTCCCCAGGAGGCACACGATTGAAAGCTCACTCTGCCAGCCACAAGGAACAGCTCTAAGGCTGCATGTGGCTCATAGTCCACACTGCGGAAACATCTGCTAGAAATGGACCCCCAGGTAAATATATTTATCCTACTCATTTAACAGGTATTATTACATATTGTTAAAACTTTTTAATATCTAACAGGTCAGCTCATGAGGGCTCCACCAGGACCTTTATAAATACCTACTTCAGAAAGAAGCTCTAAACTACAATCTAGATTATTGGGTTGAAATATATAGAACAGTATTTGTTCATTTTGTTCTGCTTTCCTTGAAGATTCCTATCCTCTTCTGCTTATTGTTGTTAGCTCTTGTTAAACGCTGGCCATGATACTGACAGGTTGGGGGGAAGGTTCTTCATATGCATCTGTTCAAAGATCAAATTTAGACTCTTATAAATAGCACTAAGCTCATCCCTGTTGAAGCATGAGGATATTTTAGGTGTTCTCCAACATGTAAATGCAACAGACTGGAGTTTTCATCAAATATCTTAAAAAGTAAGTAACCTTAACTCCAAATTCTTTCAGAAAATAAATTTATCTTTTCTGAACTCTGTTATACAGATTGTAGCATACCTGGTTAAGTAATTATTTCGTTCCTTATAGTGACAGCAAAGAATATTAAAGACTTACTGGAACTGAACTATTGGGGTAGAGGTACCAACTAAAGTTTTTTAAAACATATTCCATGTAAAATCTTTTTTGAACAAATGCATAACTGGTGTGCAATTCCAAATAAAACCACAGTAAATAGCTTAGTAGAATTAATTTGTATTAATACATATTTACAATGTAAAAATTATTTCTTTTCTAAATTTGGAAATCCTGTGTGATTGGTCAGCAGTTAAGAAAATAATATAAGAATAACTTCTAATTTGAATGCTCTAGGTAAATGAAGGAATTGGGTCCCCACAGATTAGTCTGATTATGGGATACAATTTAGAAACTTTAATATGCAGCATTTCAAGGTCTCTGATGAAATACTAATCTTTATAACTTTTACCTTACAAGGAGATTTGCAAAGATCTTTTCCATAAGCAGTGTGTCCCTGATAAATATAGAGAGAACTGTGAGAGTAACCGTGAGAGGAAAAGCATGTTTTTGCCAATGCCATTTGGAAAGTTGGAAAAGAGGGCAAAAGTGAAGAAAACGGGAAATGTTAGGAGAGATGAATATCTTACATGAACATCTAAGTAAATTGGATATGGTTATGGTCATCAGTCAGGTTATGTAACTTCTCTGTGTGTTTGAAGAGTTTAACTACATAAATGCTAGTCAAGTGGTGAAACACATGCGTACATCTATGCATTTACAGGCAAATCTTGCTCAGACCTTTGCCTAAATCACTGAAGAACTTCAGCTGGCAGGAGAGGGCTCAAGGGGGTCTCATCAATGGATATAACCACCTGATGGGAGGGAGTAAAGATGACAAAGCCAGACTTTTTGAAACCCAACGGGACACGGCCCTGAGCAGCCTGCTGTCGGTGACCCTGCTTTGGGCAGGGGGTTGGACCAGGCAATCCCCAGAGGCGCCCTCCAGCCTCCAGTTCGGTGGTTTGGGGGCTCCCTGAACCGATGCACTGCTCCGAGCAGGTGTAATGTCTTTGCCGCCTGTGGCTCAGCATAAAGGTAACACTGAGGTGAAACAGGGTCGGTCCTTAATCTTGTGGGTACTCTTATTCAAGGCATGGAATTACTTGTCTTGCTAGACCTGGCAATTTGGAAGCTGTTTTGTGGATTTATAGTTAGCCGTGTTAATAAGAAGCAGCTAGACCAAATCTAAGAACTAATAAAATACCTTTGCAGTTTAAAACACTCTATAATGCCAAAAGGTACATGGTGTTTTACAGAACCAATGTGCTTCATTTCTTATGCTGCTTATATACGACCTAGACAACCAGTCCTGCCTACGCACCAGATACGGGACATGGGCCCAGTGCGTGCAAAATTCAGATAGTTACAAAAAGAGGAACGACCCCATCCTAGGTTAATAACAATGTGGAAGGGAAAACAGACAAGTTGTTCCTTTCTTAGACTGTGAACT